AAAAGAGACCAGCGGCTGATCTGAAGTATAAAATTTTATAAAATCCATTTCAGACCCAAACAAAAATTGTCTTTTTTTTAATGCACTTACTGCACTTGAATATTGATTAGATAATATTTAAAATTGCCAAGTTAAGAGAATATATTGTGCAATACATTAAATGATAAAAAGAAAAACTTTTATCCAGAAAGTAAATCAAGGCCAAATCAACTTTTTTTACTTAGCCATTGAAACAGAATAATTTCTAGATGGGTGGCATATCTAAATTTCCTGATCAAATGCGACTTTTATATTTAACGTTGATAAATGACACATCAGAGAATGGAATTCGATCATTTGGACTGAGATATCCTTGGAATTATCCTGCCATTTTTCTTGGATTGAAGGGGACGTTTCGGGTTCCATAGTGAGGCTTGAAACCAAGGAAAATTGTAGAAGAAGTCCACAGAAACTCAGTCCGTATTATAAACTCTTTGTCTAAATTCATTTTATAAGAACCTCATCAGGCTTCTGTTGCTTCTGTATTCCTTTGATAGATAAGATAACATTCTAATCAGATCTTTCTATATAAGTAACTACTATTTAAATAAATATTGACGTTTTATAAAATTATTGAGTTTAGCTTTTATGACGTTTCTCGATGTGTCAATATTTGAAATCACAATGCGTTCTGTACTGTGCTACAACACATACTGCCAATTTAAACATTTCATAAATAATACTTAAGTCTTTATGAGGATTGTGACATGTTTACAAAACCTAGCAAATATAGAAATATGAGCTGTAAGAGACAAGCAAACAATATTACAGATTTTTAATAGGTAATGCTACCATATCGTCATTGTTAATTTTTTTACAGAGATACAACATGTTGAACTGCAACACGAGCCACAAGGATTTCATTTACACATTCCACAGCGTCATCACATAATATCGCTAGTGAGATGACATACAAATAATCTTCGTTGTTGTTGTTGTTGTTGTTCTCAATTTTTCGTGTAATCATGGCGGTGACAAATTTCAAACATATACGTCATATACTCGCTGCCTGAAACATTGATGCTATAACTTCTGTACTTTAAAAATATTATTTCTTTCTAATATGGGAATGACCGAGAGAGCTTTAATTAATAGTCTTAGAGATTAATGTAATTTCATTAAAAACTGTGCGACGCTGAGCATAATGTGCAAATCAAAAGTAACCCCATAGTTAATTAGCACGCTTGTCCCCCGGTAAGACAGTGGTAAGTCTTCGGATTTACAACGCTAACACCAGCGGTTCGATTCCCCTCGATGGACATAGCAGATAGACCGATGTGGCTTTGCTCTAAGATAACACACGCATAAAACATACTTAATTAATTGATAAAGATATGGGTGTAATTGCTTCTTTAAATAAAACAAAATCTCAATTAAGTGATATATTTTATTCTTCGAAATTTTACAATCATGAAACACCTCAAATATATTTGACATAAATTTTGAGAAAGAAACATATTTAAAAAGCCAGTATTTTGTAATTATTATCGTATTATTCAAGCCCGATTGCGATACGTATATAATCTAATTTCCGCATAGTAATAAGATTGTTAATGTGTAGTTTTTAAGCCGAATTATGGATAATGCTTGTTACATCCTCCCTTAGCTACGAGTTAACCATCTCATCACCCTAGTACTGAGATAATCTATCGACATATCTTCGTGACTCTCGTTGTCAACCGTGGATTATGCGAGCTTATGGGGGAGAGAGGGACAAACATTTTAGGCCGGAGATCACAGGTCCGCCAAGGTGTTCTAATATAGGCCATGAGCAGCGCCCCCAGTAAGAATCAGGAGGCGAAGCTCCCGGAGCTCGCGGCTTTTACCATTAGAGAGGTAAAAACTGTCCATTCCTTATATTTCTGTTAATTGGACTAAGGAGAATAATGATGTGAATAATGATAATATATATTTCACATTTTTATCAACAATAATTCTATGAACAATGTTAACAAAACCAATTTTACTTTATCAAACTTAACCTAAAGGCACTTTTCTACTGATATAGCCAGCAGCATCAACAATACTAGAAAATCAGTAATAATAATAGTTAAAGGAATACTTCTCTGTGTATTCTGACCACTCTGCCACTTATTTTTGTCCAGTAACTTGCATTCTCCCCCTCTACACCAGTGTTATGTAAACCATCATTTTCACTTTAATCACTATACAATCATGTTACCCCCACAGCGGTATGTCTGTGGAGTTACAACGCTAGAAACCGGGTTTCGATACCCGTGGTGGGCAGAGCACAGATAGCCCATCGTGTAGCTTTGTGCATAATTACAAACAATCATGTTATCAAATAGTTAATAATTTTTAAACCTTTGGATAATATTGTTTCCGATTCGCCCACCAACAAGTCAAAGCGCTAACACGAAAATTAACGATTACGGCATGCAAAAAAAAAGCGAAAATAAAGAAGGGTATTAATAAAAATGTGGATTTTGATATACAAATAAACAAAATGAACCAAACTCATTTGTGATTGTTTTTCAGAACTCATTTGTATAGATGTATTGCAAGTTGTTATAAACAGTCATTTGCATGTGCCGCAGAATAATGTCTTTCTTACTTTTGTCTTACTAGAAGTGACAAAATGGTGGTAGAAATGACAAAAGGGCAACTTAAGTTAACATAAGTGGTACTAGAAGTGACAAAATGGTGGTAGAAATGACAAAAGGACAACTTAAGTTAACATAAGAGGTACTAGAAGTGACAGTAGGGTAGTGGAAGTTACAAAGGACTGTAGAAAGTTATATTAAGAGTAACATGCATGATAAAAAGGTAGTATATGAATTTACTTAAGGAGTGGTAAATAAAATGTAAGTAAACGAAAACGTGACAATTACTTGTAATGCCAGATAGTACAGATAACATACCTTATGTCAAATGCACTAATAGGCGATAGAAATGAGAGAAGCAGTAGTAAACGGGAATGTACTAACATCATATAACATGTGGTTTATATGCCATAGCAGATACTAGATATAACGTAAAATATAGTGAACAAATGATAAAATATGTTGACCATATGAAATAAATAACTTAAAGGTTCTGGCATCCTCCACACCTCCCGGTATCTCAGCGAAATATCTCACGGCTTACAACGCTAAAATTCGGGTTTCGATACACAGATAGCTCATTGTGTAGCTGTGTGAAGAGTAATAACAAACTTAAGGGTTCTAGAGATAACGTAAGGAGTAGTCAAAATAAAATAATGTCAACTATAATAGAAATAACTTAATAATTAAAGACGGCACAAAGTGTATAAGAACCGGTTCATGTGGTAGTTAATATAAAGACGAAGAATGGTGCTATAACAGTTATTTTACTTCCTATTCTGATCGAAAAATGCCAATTGACTTAGTGAGTTTGGGAAATCTCAGCGGTAACTTTGAGGGATTACAAAGCAAAAACTCGGAGTACATTCCATGTGGCCAGGTGGTTAGGGCGCTCGACTCGCAATCTGCGGGGCGCGGGTTCAAATCCCCGTCCCACCAAACATGCTCGCCCTTTCAGCCGTGGGGGCGTTATAATGTGACGATCAATCCCACTATTCCTTGGTAAAAGAATAGCCCAAGAGTTGGCGGTGGGTGGTGATGAGTAGCTGCCTTCCCTCTAGTCTTTCACTGCTAAATTAGGGGGCGACTAGTGCAGATAGCCCTCGTGTAGCTTTGCGCGACATCTATAACAAACCAAACCAACGTTCCATGTGGTTGACACAACAGTTTGTTTGTAATTAAGCACAAAGCCACACAATGGGCTATCTGTGCTCTGCCCACCACGGGTATCGAAACCCGGATTCTAGCGTTGTAAGTCCGCAGACATACCGCTGTGCCACTGGAGGGCGGTTGACACAACGCAGACAGCCCATTGTGTAGCTTCGCTCTTTAATAAAATAAATAAACTAATGAAGACAAATGTAAATATTCTTAAACATCAAACCCGAGCCAATCTTACAGAAGGTATACTCTCTGATAAATTAATTTATCATAATTAAAACAATTTCATTCCTTGATCAATATTTTAGTGTGGTTGAAGAGGGAAAGTAAGTTATATATATTTGTGAGTTTTATTACCCTTTCGAAGAACACGTTTTACGAAAAATAAAATTGACGTAGTGTCCATAGAATATATTACAAATTTCCTAAATGCAATAATACTTAGGTTAATTATTTCACATGCTCGCAACTAAATCGATAATGTTAGAGGGCTTTATATTTACCTAATGCTCGCTGCATTAGTATTTGTGGTTTAAAACTGTCATATGGAACTATCTCCTTCGTCAAAATATTAGCGCGATCACCAAAAATTGAAATAAGAATTTCTTTAAGTTTTTGTCACAACTGTTAGTAATATCTGTCCTGATCTTAAGCGATAATATATTGTGTTATTGTTAATATTGTAACTATTTTCTGTTGTTTTGTTAATATTTTCATACTTTGAATGTTTGATACATAGAACTATATTTTGAATGTTTTACCAGCATGTAATCTGCATGTACCGCTTTCCACATGGTGGTCATGATTTCTTCTTAGTGATAAAATTTGTATATTTTTGCGTGATTGTATAATAATTCTGTAAAGACTTGAAAATAAAAGCGATATCTGATGTCCTGGGAGTCGTATATGTTTTAATTATCATCATTCGTACTATGTATAGAACTACCACTTACCCACCAACTTTTGGCGTACTCTTCTACGAGAGAATAAAGGAATTTGATCGTCATTCAGACAAATAGACTGTGGAAGGAAGTAACAAAAAGAAGAGCTTGAACATTAATTTATATGTTGCAGAAGAAAGTACTTGTTATAACTGATAGAGAACATAAATATATGGTACTATAGTTCCTGTTCAA